ATACACTATTTCCTCCTCTTGAACTGCGAAACGCACCTTTGGGCGTAGTTCTTCAAGGCCTGACTAAATACTTTCCTCTTTGGTCGTGCTTTCAGGCACCCTCCCACCTCCCCTACGCTCTACCACTCTTGATTCCAACCCCCAGCTCGGGTGCAAATCCTTAACTGTCCAGCGGCTTGGGAAGTCTTTCTGATGTGAAAGGAGCTATAAAAATAATAATGGTAATAATCCTTGCATTTAATTTTGTGGCTTGGTGGTGTAGTGGCTTGGTGGAATAACAATTGCAGTGAACCTGGAAGTGATGCTTTCGGAAACTGGGAGGTACAGATTCCACACAGTAAATGTTTGTGACTCAGAAATTTATTGAGTTGATTAGATTATTGACTTGTTCTTTGAACAGTCACGCAAACTGAGGCTGAGATTCTTGGCAAATACTGTACTGGAAAAGGCAATTAGCACCTTCCGTGTTTGAGTATCTAGTTGAAGAATTTTCTGGACTTATCTTCTATACCAATAAAACAACAACTGTCTATCTGTGTCTGTCTGCGCTTCAAGAAGGATCTCAATAACCGATTGACTTAGAGACATGATTTATATCTCACCGGAAAGGTCTTCCATCTGGGAGTAACATGGGCATATTTGTTTTCGTGTATTTCTATCGCAACCTAAAATGTATTTCAGTTTTGCATTTTTCGCTGCAGTTACACCTGGTGGCCGCTGAGTCAAAATGGTGCTGTGGCATCCCACGTCGCAGAACACGCATGTAGCTAAGCGGTGGCGGGAGCACAATAAAAAACACAGATGAAGCTAAGCCACAGCAACAACAAAATTACGTTTTTAAAACTCCTTTCATGTCGGGAGAACATCCCAGTGTTTATAAATTATACATTTATATTTATAAAGATGCCTAAGCCAAAATCAAACCTTTCAAGGATAAGCAAAAATGCTAGACATGGGAGAGAAGGCCCATTAAATGAAACTGAAGAACAAAGAATAGTGTGGCTGCCCTTCAGCGCCGAAAAGACTGCAACAGTGCCCTAAAGTGAGTTGCCCACTCAAAGAACAGCATGGCCAAAATAAGTCCTCCCACTGGGATCTTCCCAGATGAGTATAGATAAAGATGATATGTCTGTCTATGCATCAATCTGCATTCCATGTTGAATCATTTGGTTGCAAGTGTGGCTGCAATTGACAATAATTCTTGCATTTGATATAAGGTCTTATCCCATTAAAATGGATCAAAGCGCTTCACAGATTTTTCGGTAAAGTTTTCTGTGTTTTTTAGCATAACAATGTTCCATAAACAGCCAGGAAATAAATTAAATAATATTTTTTATCCAGGAGATTTATTGCACAGAAAATTCCTTTCTCTTATTGAATGAGATCTTCCTACACAGTATAAAATTTGCATTTATATGAGTCATTTTGCAAAAGAATTTACATTTTTAAAAAGGAAAGGGCAGCTACAGAATCACTTTAAGGTAGAATTAATAGATGATAACAGAGATAAATTATTATTGGGGATTTACTATTGATCCCCTGGCCAGGGTGACAGCCTTGATCTGGAACTGTGAGATGAGATAAGGAAGGTGATTAGCAAGGGATCAAACAGTAGTTAAGATTTTAACTTACCAGAAATTGATTGGGATAATGATCTGTCCACTGGTAAGATAGGGGAGGGGTTCTAGAGTTAAAGGAAGACTCTTTTCCTTCAACTCCAGGACTACTGGCATCCTGATCGACTGCCTGTCTGACATCAAGTCCTGGAAGAGGGACAACCTTCTCCAACTCAACGTCAGCAAGATCGAGGCCCTTCTGATTGGCTCGCGCCAGCGCCTCCGCACCTCGGGCGCTGGCAGCATCAGCCTCCACGGCTGCACACTCAACCTCACTAAGCCAGTCAGGAACCTGGGTGTTTGATCCTGAACTGTCCTTTCTCCTCCACATCAGTGCCATGACCGGCACTGCCTACCACCACCTCCGCAACATTGCCAGACTCCGCCACTGCCTCACCCCTCAGGCTGCCGAAACCCTCACCCACGCATTCGTCACATCAAGGCTCGATTATGGAAACGATCCCATCACTCCCACCCTCGTCCAACTCCACTGGCTCCCCATCCCCAAGATCGTCATTCTCACTTCTAAGGCCATCCATGATCTTGCCCCCTCCTACCTCCATGGTCTTGCCCCCTCCTACCTCTCTGACCTGCTAACTCCTTATCAACTTGCCCGCTCCCTCCATTCATCAGGCTTCGGCCTTCTCCATGTCTCCCGCCCGATCTGCCCTATCACTTAGTACTTAGTAGCCAATTGTGCACAGAGGAGTGTCCCACAAACAGTCGTGGATTGAGTGACCAATTTTAAATTTTTTTTGGAAGGAATTATTACTGCCCGGAAAAGCGATACACGAATCGACTAACAACCAGGTTCCCACTTAATACTGGATAAATAGAGACATGTAGAGTAACGAAACTTGCCCAACGTTTCGCTCTGCCGGTAATCAAACCCAGGTCTCTCCCTTGCGAGGCAGGTGCTCTAACCACTGAGCTACAGGATTCCACATAGCAAATAAATATAATTAAAATAATTCATCATTCTTTCAGAGTGGCTTTTTAAAATGTAATATAGGCCCCAAGAGAGTGAAAGGAGGAGTTATGAGGCTTTTTTTCACACAGAGAGTAGTTGAGTGTGCCTACTGAGTAGGGTATGGAGGTGGAGTCCATTGTAGTGGTCAGGGGTAAATAGACAGGCATATGAAAGAGGAGCTTGAAGAAGATAAAGCAGGGTGGTGGGATTGAATTGATCTTGGTTTGTGAGCAGGTTGAACTCAATGAGTCAAATGGTCCCCTTCTTCCTTGTAAATGTCTGTTTCTATGTTCTTTCATGTTCAAGATTATGAGGGATTTTGACAAGGTAATAAGAAAGTCTATTTTCATTAGTTGGTGAATCAGTATCGAGAGGAAGATTTGATATTAGCAGATTTTTTTTATACATAGAGGGTTATATGAGAAAAATTGAATACTCCACCATAAATAGCACTAAAGGCAGAATCCGTAATAGCCTTTGGCGAGGGAGTAGGCAACTATCTGAAAGAAAAACACATCTGAAACAGTTTCGGGAAAAGACAGGGAAGTGGGACTAAACAGAGAGCAACAAATATCAGAAAGTCAGCACAAAGGACTCCTTATATCACAAAATTAAACAATTCTATGATTTTAACTAATGAATTGCATTTAAACCTAACTCTTTGGAGGAAAAGTGATTAATATTTCTTTCGAGCCTTTGATTGAGGATTAACTGCCAATATCTGCATTGATGAAATTGCCATAAAACATCCAGGAAAAGCTTGCTATCAGCGTTCCAGACCACCATCACTTCCAGAGCCAGTCAATCGTGACCTAACTGAAGCTTATTTATCAAACTACTGCATTGCCTTCAATGCATTGGAGGATATTTTAAAAAGCCACTCTGAAAGAATGATGAATTATTTTAATTATATTTATTTGCTTTGTGCAAGTACCTTGTGTATCAATATAATCAAGTCATATATATGGGACCTCCCTCTGGCCCAGCCTTACAAAAAAGCTTTGCAGCCGACACACGCACATGTACAGAGTCAGTTACAAATTGTCCAGGAGAGAGCCCTCTCCAGTGTAGGCCGGAGCCCTTCCTCCCTGCAGCCACTTCCCGTGTTTGCCACAAACTCACCTCATTGCTGAGGAGATAAACCCGGTCTCCTTGGAGCTCAATAGCTCCAAACTCACACGTTTGGCATCGGATGTCAGAATCGAGCCACCCCTCTGTGGCCATGCAGATCTGCAGTATTCCAGAGCACTGCTGATGACGGTACAGCCAGCCTGGCTCATAGGCAGCACCTGGAAGGGCAGACCAGTCACTGGGGGCAGGGAATCCACCCACTCAGCTCTTGTTAATCCTGAAAGCACCGGCCCTAATAGGTAGGGTGGTCCTAGCTGGACAAGCAAGCTATGTGAATTTAGCCGGTTAGACTCCAGCCGTTACCCAAATGCACACTGTGGGGTCCCCAAGCCTTGGCTCTTGCCAACCTGCACCTAATACTTTCCAAAATTAGCTAAGCAGGATGGGTCCTTCCAGGCAGAGAGTGTGTATTCCATTCCAACAATCTATCTCTGGAGTTCCCACGTGTAGGTGAGATGCATGGAAATCTTAGCTTGGTTTGGATACTCTTAATCATGGTGATGAGTTTCTGTCTGCGTCAAACATCCGGCTGATCACAGTGATAGGTTTCCGTGTGTGTCAGACACCTGGCTGAGCAATAAATAAATAAATCCTGCAGAGAGCATAATAATAATAATCCTTGCATTTGATACAACACTTTTCATGTCTTCTAGACGTCTCAAAGCGCTTCACAGAATATACTGTAAAATGAATTGACTATATTTGTGGGCGAAACGCGGGAGCCAATTGCGCACAGAAGTGTCCCACAAACAGTCGTGGATTGAAGTGACCAATTTCACTATTGTTTTTTTTCTTGAGGGATTATTATCAGGCGTGTGAAGTAAGAAAACTTGCTCATGGTTTCGTCCCCTGCTAGGAATTGAACCCAGGTCTCTCAATTGCAAGGCGAGCGCTGTAACCACTGAGGTACAGGATTCCTAAAGCATGCAGGCACATTGCACTGAGAGGGAGAGGGAGAACACATACAGAACAAGCCGAGAGAAGTACACATAGACATACACAAGACATAGACAAAATCTACTGAACAGTTCAATCAGATTGATGGCCTGGAAACTGAGGATAAAGGCGGTGATGCTGAAAGAGTTAATCATCAGTAGAAGAACTTTTAGCTGCACCTTCACTGAGTGAAAATTTCCTCATTCATTAAATTCTTGAACAGAAACTAAATGTCAATTCTACCTCCTATCAGAATCCAGTGAAACCTGATTCAGTCCATCTGATTTATTATATATGCAAATTTTGGGGATACTATACTATATTAGTGGAGAGTTCGAGTTGCAGAAGTGGACTCCAGCCTGAATCAAGGATTGCGCTGAGTGTCTGACCAGGTATCATTTCTTTACTTTCCACTTGCTGGGTGGGTTCTTTTACATACAACAACACCTTGCATTTATACAGCACCCTACATGCGACAGCATCTCGGAGCACTTAACAGTGCCGAGCCAGGGGGAGGGTGAAGGTGACCATAAGTACGGTTGAGGAGGAAGGTCTTCAAACATGACCTGAAAATGGGGAGAGAGAGAGGGGGCGAAGGCGATGGGATTGAGGGAGAGAGTTCCACAGCTTCAGCATGTAGTGACTGAAAGCACGGTCGCCGATGATGGGGCGGAGAGTCCAGGGACAAGGAGGAGGCTGGAGCCAGTCGAGCGGAGGCGATGGGTGTAGGTATAGGTATAGTGGAGAGAGCAGGTTGGAGAGATGGGGCAGGGGAGCCAGGGTGTAAAGGGGTTTAAATACAAGAGTGAGGATCTTGAAAACGATCTACACTGAGACAGAGAGTCATTGGAGTTTGACAAGAACTGGGGTAATGGAGGGACAGAATTTAGTGCCGGTGAGAATGCGGGTGGCGGAGTTTTGAATACAGACAAGGGGTAGACTAGCCGAAGCTCCTGTGAAAATGGCTCCTAATTTTTAAAAATATAATAATAATATTAATAATAATAATGATATAGTGCTTTTCACCTCTTCTAGACATCTCAAAGCACTTCAAAGAATATGCTATAAAGTGAATCGACTGTATATTTGTGGGCGAAATGCGGCAGCCAATTGTGCACAGCAGCGTCCCACAAACAATCATGGATTGAAAATGACCAATTTATTATTGTCTTGTTTGTTGGAGGGATTATTTTACAAAGGCTGTGGGTAGCTCTCCCCTCACCCCATACCTGGCCAGGGTGGGTATGATATAGAGATGGAAGGGTGAGGACATGCTTTGTTTTATGCTTTTCTGGCTCTGTCGATGCACACTCCCTTTCACACAGACCTGTGTGCTGGAATAAATTCTCCGCTAGAGACCTGCAGACTCACCCTATACATATGGTCAAACCCCAACCCGAGCAGCTCACACACAGGCTCGAGCAGCTTGTAGTGCTACAAGTCTGGTTAGGATCAGAATGAGGAAAAGCTTTTGTTTAACAGACTGCAAATGTACAAGGAAGGCTAATTAATTCAGAGAAAACGTGTGTAAAAAGTGATAACTAGCGGTATAAATCTTCTTGTTATCTTCTTGTCATAACATATTGCGAAATATTTAATTATTTCAGTGTGAATCTATTTTAAAGCCACAGAAGCTGCAATTTAGTAGGAACTTAGCCCACCGTGTCTGTGCTGGATTCTTCATTGGAGCTCTCTACTCTAATCCCATTCCACTACTCTTTCTCTGATGTGTCTGTTTTGACTGTTTGTGGGGACGCTGCTGTGCCCAATTGGCTGCCACGTTTCGCCCATAAAACATACAGTTAATTCACTTTATGGTATATTCTATGAAGCGCTATGAGACATCTCAAAGACTTGATAAGGTGCTACATCAAATGCAAGGATTATTATTATTAGCACAGATTTGAATGCATTTTCTCACATCAGCGAATGTTTCTTTCAGAAATGACGCCTGTTTGGCTGCTCGGTGTGATGCTGATTGTTTTTTCCAGACTCTGGCTGAACGAGTTCCTCCAGGTGAGAGAGGTCTAATTCACACCCAGAATTGATTCTCTCTCTGATGAGTCAATCTTCTATTTATCACTTGGAAAGTTACATTACGTGCTCGTGGTTTGGTGCTGTTGGTTTCATGTTATTGTCCTTTGTTCTTTTTTCCTTCCAAAAACCACCAATTTTGGGGGGATTCCAGTCTACATTTACAGTCTGTGTTATGCTCTAGCCCAGTCATTGATATCGTATCATGTGAACCTAAGAGGAGCAGAGGAGCAAAGAGATCTGGGGATTTAGATCCACAATATCCACAATAGGAAATATAGGAAAAAGGAAGAGGCCACTGTGCCCATCAAACCTGATCCACCACCTTATTAGAGTTTTTAATGACAATGTATCTTCACCATAGTGTGAAATGACTGGTAATAATGAGCAGACAATTGAAGACTGTCTTTGATGGAACTAATAGGAATTCTTATTAATGTGTATAATTAAACATTGAGCCGTGGAGTCCTGTAGCTCAGTAATTAGAGCATTCGCTTTGCAAGCGAAACACCTGGGTTCAGTTCCAGGCAGGGCGAAACCTTGGGCAAGTTTCCTTACTCCACACGCCTAATAATGATCCCTCCAAAACAAAACTATAATAAAATTGGTCACTTCAATCCATGACTATTTGTGGGACACTGCTGTGCGCAATTGGCTGTCGCATTTCACCCACAAACATATAGTCAATTCACTTTACAGTGTGAAGCGCTTTGGGACGTCCTCCCGACATGAAAAGCGCTATATCAAATGCAAGGATTATTATTATTATTATATTCTGTGAAGCGCTTTGAGGCATCGAGAAGACGTGAAAAGCACTATATCAAATGAAAAGCTTATTATTATATTATAGTTTAGGGTTTGTCTAGTACTAAGTTGTGTGCCTCAGAACCTCTTCTCTTTCTCTTTTGTTTCTAGAATCTGAGAGACTTTTGGGTACCCCATTCATGAAGAAAGCGATACAGGAAGCCATCGAGTGGGTGGACAGATCCTACAAGAGCACAAGAGAGAAGTAAGTTTTTCACCTCGGTTAAACTACACTCAACTGAACTCATTCAGAAATATTCATCTTAGTAAATCATCTTAATAAGGACTTATGTTTCCTTACTCCACACGCCTAATAATAATCCCTCCAAAAAACCAAAAACAATAATTAAAATAGTCATTTTCAATCTACGACTGTTTGTGGGACATTGCTGTGCGCAATTGGCTGCCGCGTTCGCCCACAAATATACAGTCAATTCACTTTACAGTGTGTTCTGTGAAGCGCTTTGGGACGTCCTCCTGACGTGAAAAGCGCTATATCAAATGCAAGGATTATTATTATGATATCGCACACTGGAGTAAAGTTTGTGTTAACACAAGGAACACAAGTGTAAGCCGTTATTTGACGCTCCTGTACTTCTGAGACTCTCCCCAGGTGAGAGCTACAAGGATTATTATTATTTTTATTATTATATGTTACCTGAGTCCGTTTATTTGCAGCCACCGGGAGAAGCTAAGGAAACAGTCTCTGACGCCAAGTGATCTCCTGCTCTTCTTCAAGCAGCCCACAGCTGACACCAGGCGGGTAGTGCGGGCGGCAGAATACACTGAAACTGCGCTGAACCTCATCCAGAAGAAAGTGCACCAGATCCATAGACGCTCACTCAATGCAACAGGTCAGTCCATTGCTTTACAGAGACATCGTTCTTTGTGTGCCCCATTTTGCCGCCAATGTATCTAGTATTTCATCCAATGCTCATCTCTTCACATCCACATCCATGCTATGACCCATTCCGCCTTCCCCCACCTCCAAAACATAGCCCACATCTGCCACTACCTCTCCTCTCAGAGACCCTCATCCATGCTTTCATCTTGGCTTGACCATGCTAACTCCCTCTCATTGGACTTCCTGGTTCTTCCCTCCACAAGCTGCAGATTATTCAGAACCTCTGCAGCTTGTGTTGAGTACCTCAAACAGATCAATTCTCAACGTCCAGCCAATCTAACCCCAGGTCAGTCATCACAGCCAGTGCCACTCAGTCAATATTGTAACTTATATGGAAGTTTGTAGACTCTCAACTCCTAGAGAACATCGCTGTCTAATTTTATTAACTCTATTTATCAAAGTTAACATTGTGCAGCAAAAGGTATTTATTTGAATTAATGTGTATTGTATTATTGCTTTTCTCATTGCCTCAAATGGGCTTTGTGTCTGCAGATTTGCTGTCGCAAGCTGACCTGGACACCATAGCCAAGATCACAGGCTGTGCCGCCACACGCCTGACCCCAAAGTGTGAGGACGACTGCTGGTCAAACAAATACAGGACGTTCTCAGCTGAGTGCAATAATAAGTAGGTATTGTGTGAGCAAAGTTGTGGCTTAAAGCCTCGCAGTTGGGACTTTGAGCTCATGATCCAGGCTAACAATCCATTGCAGTGTTGAGGGAGCCTTGCATTGTTGGAGGTGGTGTCATTTGGATGAGATGCTAAACCAAGGTCCCATAATCAGGTGGTCGTTAAAGATTCCATCTTCTCATTAGAAAGGAGAATCCTCTGCAACTCCATCAAACAGTCCCTTCACCTCGTCCCCTGCCTTGTCTTCTTCAAGACCAGTCTCAAGACCCTCTTCGACCAAGCCTTCGGTCACCCTCCTACTTCTACCCTCCCTGCCCTCCACCCCTCCTGATCCCAACCACCAGTTCGGGTTCAGATCCCTGACTGTCCAACGCCTTGGGATGTCGTCCTAACATGAAGGGGGCTATACAAATGTAATTTGTTGTTGTTGATTGGCAGTTTGCTTTCCTGGTGTAATAATCCCTTCAAAAACAAAATTGGTCACTCAATTCACAACTGTTTGTGGGGTCACTGCTGTGCGCAATAGGCTGCTGTGTTTAGCCCACAAATACTGTCAATTATCTTTACAATATATTCTGTGAAGCACTTAAAGATGTTCTCAATGACTTGATAAGCTGCCATATCAAATACAAGGATTATGGTTTATTACCAGGAGGTGTCAGTCACAATGAACATTCACACCTGTTACAATGAGGAAGAAAAAGCAAATGAAGCTGCAGTCAGGAACAGCTTTGATTTGGTAAATGGATCAAAGAGCTTCAGGCAATGCTCATGTAACAGCTTCTGTAAATCATGCTCAGCACGTGTGTCTGCTTCAGTACTTTATAATAATCCTGCCATTTGATACAGCACCTTTCTGACTACTCCATAGGATTCACTGTAAAGTTTAGTGACTGTGTATTTTGCAGCCAAATGCGGCAGCCAATTTGAACAAAGCAATGTCCAATACGCCAATAGAGTGAGGTGGGAGAGTGAGTGGAGGGCAGATGACGGCAGTGGGTGAGCCTGGCTTTGATCTCAGTGCTGCCTTGTGGCTGATCATGTTCGGTGGCTGCCACTCTGCTGCCCGAGGCTGCAATGTCCAAATCTCAGTCAATTATTAATTTGGAGATTTTTAGGCAGCCACTGACTCCTCTTCCAACACACCTACCAAACCGCAGCTCGCACTGTTGGAGAGATTATCATTCCTCCCCCTCCCCCACAGCTCACATTGTACTTTTGATCATGTAATTTCCCAACTAAGCCAAAATAAGACAGACTTAGTTTCTTGTGTTGTAAATGTTACATTCGTCAGGATGCAGCCAAACCTACACAGCGTGACGGTACATGAGGTTCTGCCTCGCTGCTTTATCTCAGTTCATTAACAGTTCAAACAGCCAGAAATCACTTGTACCAGAACCTGGCCAGAGCTGCCAGCGAGCGCCTGGTCACCTAGTGATGTCGATCATCACCCCACTCCCTTTATCCCGGCCTGATGTCCAACTCCACCAATGTGAAGCTCTCCAACACAATATCTTATATGAAGGATGTTATATAATGCAAGTTGTTATAAGCATGGTGTGTTACTCCAGGGAGCGCCTGTACATTCCACGCCAGATACCGGGAAATTAAATTAATGTGTAGGTGACATACACAGATGGAACTCTTAATCTGATTTTGATATGCTTCAGCTTGGGTTGTGAATGTGTCAGACCCTGAGCTGAACAAAAAAAAGTTATGAATGTTATTTAGGCCTTTCACTTGGTCCACAATGATACTGCAGTACAGGACTAGGGAGCACTGCATTGGGCTATGAATGAGACATTAAACTGAGAGTCCGTCTGCCTGTTCAGGTGATATTAAAGATCCCATGGTACTATTCAAAAAGATTAGTGAGTTTCTTTATTTCAAAGCACTTTATTTTATTAATTTCCAGGAACAATCCCCGTCTGGGTTCGTCAAATACGCCCCTTGCCCGCTGGCTGCCGCCTCGCTATGAAGACGGGGTCTCGCTACCCCTGGGCTGGACTCCGGGAAAGTTACATTCAGGATTCCCTCTGCCGCTGGTAATTCACACTCACAGAACCAGCGGAACCTGGTGCGGGTTTACAAAATTGGCTGTGTAGAGTCTCACAAACCATAGAATAGGAACCCAAACTCCCCTGATGACTGGTAGATAAAGGTTTCAAACAGCCAGTCTGGTGCTGAGTGAACCTAAAGCCAGACTGTAGTCGGGGCTATATTTGGCCTCAAAGCCCAAGGATAGACAAACAATTATTGCTACTGATTACTCTCCTGTGACCTCTGCTGGAATGTTAATTAACTGAGCACAGATTAGCAAGCCCAAGAAAGATAGTTAACTAACACAAGTTAAATGTGACACCAACTGCTTAAGTACACGGAAGGCGGGTAAATTTCCTTATGCTGCCATTGACTAGAGCTGGAAAGTGCTGTTATAATGTTTACAGCCATAAATAATGTTGAGTTATCACAAGGGGAGTAGATAAGAGAAGTCCTCACCTGGATAATTGTGGCCTTGAAATGTAATGTATCAGTTTAATTCAATTCAGAAAAAATAGTATTTCTTCAAGTGTCCCTGGCAAACAATAATGGTCATTGTACACATTGGCTGTGGTGTTCGCTGAGAAATGCACAGTCTTGACAGAGATGACCCATGAAATGCTTTTCAGATATTTTGATATCATAGATATGAAAAGGCGAGGATTCGTATTAATATTGTCATTATTTGTTTGTGGTCTTCAGGTCCGCGAGGTGTCCAACAGCATCTTAAAAATCCACAACAACGAAGTGATTTCAGATGATACAGCAAGTCATATTCTTGTGCAATGGGGTCAGTGGATTGATCATGACATGACTTTGAACCCTCTGTCTGGCAGCCTGGAAACATTCAATGATGGAATCAGATGTGAAAATACATGTGTACAACAGAGTCCTTGTTTCCCGATTAAGGTGAGGTCTTCAGTTTGCTTGAAAACTTCTATGTGCAATCTATCTCTCTGTACTTCACATTTGTTTACCTTGTCCTATTCTCTGTATAAACGTAGCGTGGAATGAAGGAATAGTATTGGCAAAGTTTTTTTAAAGACACACCTCAAAATGTGAAGCTAGGAGAAAGTCTCTGTCTATTTGGGTCTGAGTTAACAGGCCTTGAACCATGTTCTTTAGTAACTAAATAACCCAGAATCGTTAGTTCATCTTGCTTCCCACTCTACTTTGTACACAATTCTGTCAATGTATCTTTCTCCAAATCTCATTACCCTGAATCCTCTCAATATGTAGAAACTGGTTATTCTTGTTTGAAACCTTGTTTGACTGTATGTGCGGGTGTTTGTTCACATGCCTATCGTCCTTTGTAATTGGCTGCTGTGTTTTGCCTACAAAATACACAGTCAATCCATTTTACAATATAATCTGTGAAGTGCTTTCAGGTGTCCCAACGACGTGATACGGCGCTATGTCAAATACAAGGATTATTATTATTTTCTACAATATTCTCCCATATTTTAAAATTGCAATATCTTGTTTTCAAATTTTGACCTAAGAAACCCATCTAAATCCAAATTTTCCAAACCTTCTTAATTTTAAACACTTTTGTCACCAAGGTTTCCTGGTGTTCTCCACTAAATCACATATTATACCTGATGGTAATTCCAAAGTGCTCTAAGATATTTAATATGATACACACTATAAAAATGCAATTTCTTTTTATCTGCTTTTTTTTATCTCTGTTTTTCTCTGAAAGAATAAACCATACAATACACAATACAATTTATATTGCTATTTTCATGTTGGGAAGACACAAGTTCTTTGTTCAGTTGCCTGGGCATTCAAGTGGGTAGTGGCAGTGGAGGAGAGGAGGGAGTTAAAGACAGCATAAATGCACAGCTCACTCTTAGAGTAAAAGGCATTCTACTGCAGTTGGAGTCACAAGGTGCCCATCATTAACACTTGTGGTCTAAATCCCTAACTGTCCAGCGCCTTGGGACATCCTCCCGACATGAAAGGTGCTATGTTATTTTGTATTGTATAGTGGGACAGGGGTGGGGGTGGCAAAGCTGGTCAAAGAGTTAAATCTTAAGGAAGCTTTAAAAGTGGGGAGGAAGAGGCAAGGGGTCTCTGGGATGGAGATCCAGAGAGAAGGGTCAGAATCGCTGACAACCCTCCCACTGATGGAGGAGTGATCAGGTGGGGGACAAGAAGCCGGGCAAAGCGATTGCAGGAGATCCACAGGGTGGGGTGAGATCATGGAGGGACTTGAATCCAGAGCAGATGCTGTGGCTTATCACTGGTCAATGGCTCTAACATAAATGTGTTGCCATTTATCATGGTTTTCTGTTTTTATGATTGCTTTCTGATTCACGTTGCTTTCTGTTTTCATTTCCTGACAATTTAATTCCTGGACTGCTCTGAGAGTATTCTGACATTTTTCCAACAGATTCCTCCAAATGATACTAGGATTCCAGACACGAACACCTGCATGCCTTTCTACCGCTCTGCTCCTGCATGTGGTAGTGGCAAGCTAGGCACTCTATTTGGAGATGTGAACACACGGGAGCAGATAAATGCTCTCACCAGTTTCCTGGACATGAGTGAAGTGTACGGTAGCACAGACTGCATTGCAAACAAGCTCAGAAACCTCTCCAATGAGCTGGGCCTTTTGGCTGTCAATAAAGAATTCACTGACAAGAAATTGGAGCATCTGCCATTCAATACAATTTCAACCAACCTCTGTGGCAGACAAGAGGAAAGTTGCGCCATCGATAAAACTAAAACGCCGTGCTTTATATCTGGTAAGAGTTGTCCGATGCAACAGATAGATATGACTCATTCCTTTGAGTTTACAAGTGAATCTTACTCAATTAGTATATAGAAATCTGTGACCCACCTAGCCCTTTCATTATTAAGTTTCTTAATTGCGTTTTGTAATTAATCCCACTTTCCAACTCTTTCCTGATTTCCCATAATGTTTTTATTGCGCAGGTATTTATCCAAATCTGTTTTAAATGTTCCAGCCTCAATAGCTTAATGAATTAATAAGTGTTCTTAAGATGCTACCCAGTGTGGAGGGTGCTATGTAAGTGCAAGTTGTTGCACTCTTCAAGAAACCTTCCCTAGATCCCTCAAACCCCAGCCACTACCGTCCCATTTCTAACCGGCCCTTCCTCGCAAAAGTCCTAGAACGCGTTGTTGCCAATCAACTCTGCGCACACCTCTCCTCCCACTCCCTCTTCGAACCCCTCCAGTCCGGTTTCCGCCCACAGACTTCGCTTGTGAAAGTCATAAACGACATCCTCTTTATCTGTGACCAGGGCTCCCTCTGCCTCCTTGTCCTCCTGGACCTCTCCACAGCGTTCGACATAGTCGATCGCGCCATCCTCCTCCACCGCCTTTCCTGCATCATCCACCTCAGTGCGACCGCACTCGTCTGGTTCGAGTCCTACCTCACAAACGGCTTCTCCTCCCGCTCTCACCTGGTCACCTCCGGGGTACCCCAAGGATCCATCCTTGGCCCCCTCTTGGGGATGTAATCCGCAAACATGGGGTACATTTCCACATGTATGCAGATGACACCCAACTCTACTTTTCCACCTCTCTTTGCGACCCCCAGTCCCCTGATGTTCTGCCTGTCAGATCTCAGGGACTGGATGAGCGCAAATTTCCTTTAGCTGAACTTTGACAAGACAGAAGCCATATTCTTTGGCTCTCGTCAACATCTAAAATCTCATGGCTCTCACCTCCTCCACCTATCCGACCTCCCCCTAAAACTCTCCGAACCCATACGCAGCCTAGGCGTCAGGTTCGACCCCCAATTATCCTTCCTCCCCCACATCCGGTCCCTCACCAGCACCGCCTTCTTCCACCTTCAACGCATTGCCTCCTTCGCCAATACCTCTCTCCGAAAGCCGCTGAAACCCTAGTCTATCTTTGTCACCTCTCGGCTGGACTATTCTAATGCCCTCCTCGTCGGTCTCCCATCCACTACCATCCATAAAATCCAGATCATTCAAAACTCTGCCGCCTGCATTCTCACCCGCACCAAACTTCGCTCCCTGATCCCCCCAGTCCTTGCCACACTGCACCGGCTGCCTATCCCAGAAAGGATCGATTTCAAGATCCTCACCCTTGTATTCAAATCCCCCCACTCCTCTGCACCCCCCGACCTCTCTGACCTCCTCTCTCCTCAAAACAGTAACCGTTGCCTTCGTTTCTCTGGGTCTGGCCTCCTTCTCATCTCCCGAGTCTTCCACTCCACCCTCGGCGGCCGTGCCTTCAGCCACTACGCCCCGAGGCTCTGCAACTGCCTTCCTTACTCCCTTCGCCTCGCTCCCTACCTTCCCATTTTCAGGTCTCTGCTGAAGAGCTATCTCTTCGACCGCACCTTTAGTCACCTCCCCCCCGGCTCCTCCCCTTTCCCCGGCTCGGTCCCGGGATCCGTTACTGTGAAGCGCTCTGAGACGCCATCCGGCGTGGAGGGCGCTATATAAATCCAATTTGTTGTTGTTAAATTCTAAACCAAAATGATTCTCCAAGTGAAGAAATTCTTTCCAATCTCTTTTTTGTTTATTCTGCTAAAAATCTCAAGTTTCTCAGGTAAGATTGAGACGCTTGATAAATTTCAGCCACTGTAAATTGATATCACAATTTACAATGTTTGGTATGAACCTAACATTGCTGGATTCTCACTAAAGCCGGTGTCGACAGTAAATGGCCACAAGGTGTCAACCTTTTCAGTTTATCCATCCCTGCAAGTATCTCATCTATTCACTCAACATTCTGACCTAATTCTAATTTTCAATTATCTTGTAAGTTATTTATAATAATAATAATAATAATCCTTGCATTTGATATAGCGCTTTTCACGTCAGGGGGACGTCCCAAAGCGCTTCACAGAACACACTGTAAAGTGAATTGACTGTATATTTGTGGGCAAACGCGGCGGCCGATTGCGCACAGCAATGTCCCACAAACAGTTGTAGATTGAAAATGACCAATTTATTATTGTTTTTGGTTTTGGAGGGATTATTATTAGGCGTGTGGAGTAAGGAAACTTGCCCAAGGTTTCGCCCTGCCTGGAATTGAACTCAGGTCTCTCGCTTGCAAAGCGAGTGCTCTAACCACTGAGCTACAGGACTCCATAAATTACATTTATATAATGTAATAACAATCCTTACAATTGTTATCGTGCCTTTCATGTCAGGAGGCTGTCTTAAAGCACTTCACAGGATATTACTGTAAAATGTAGTGGTCATGTATCTTGTAGTTCATACTTCAAATTTGCATACCCCAATGTCCCACAAACATCCCACAAACCAATATTACGTAAGGGATTGTTGGTCAGGACAGTGGAAGAAATTCCCTTCTCTTTTCCAATGCTGCTATGGGATCTTTAACATCCACCTGAACAAGCAGATTTAATGTCTCACCTGAAGAATGACACCTCCAACATTGCACTGCACTGGAATGTCAGCCTAGACTGTCCCAATGTGGTTGCTGAATGGTCTCCTGTTTCTGTTGACGGAGGCTCCTCACTCTTGAGTATGTTGCTTCCTGTTGCTCTGGATGTAACTTTATGTGTGTTTGTTCTTTCATTACTAGGTGATGTTCGTGTGAATGAACAGCTTGGGCTTCTAGCCTTCCACACATTGTTCCTCCGGGAGCACAATCGTTTAGCCAGAGAGCTTAAGAAGCTTAATCCCCACTGGAGTGGAGAAACAGTCTATCAGGAGGCAAGGAAAATCATGGGAGCATTTCAAGAGGTACATTCACAGAAACAGTCGTGTTCCTCTTACAGATGTGTTCCACTTACGATGTGCGATGATGTTTGCAATCTTTGCTGCTTGAAAAGCTCAGTGATGGATAAAGGTCATTAGTCCATTTAACTCTTGTTATAGATCCCAGTCTATTGTCAACAAGCCCAGAGCTTGTGCCTCTGTTACTTTTCTTGGTATATTACCACTCTGAGTGAAGAACATTCTCCTAAATGTGCATGTCTCTGTTTTCCACTGAAGTCTTTTAGTTTTAGTTTTACTTTCTTGGTTTTCTCTGCAAATATGTTGAAAAATCTTAAATTAATCTTAATTTGGAAACTAGTTCTTTCCTCGCAAGGGAGAGGACCCGGGTTTGATTCCTGGTCAGGGCGAAACATTAGGCAAGTTTCCTTACTCCATACGCCTCTTTTTACCTAGCAGTAAGTAGTTAGTTGATTGGCAGATCAGTTTCCGGGAATAAAAATCTCTTTTTAAGTAAAATATGGTTACTCAATTCATAACTGTTTGTTGGACACTGCTGTGTGCAATTGGCTGCTGCATTTCGCCCAAAAAATATACAGTGTATTCTGTGAAGCGCTTTGAGATGTCTCGACAATGTGATAAAGCATTATATCAAATGTAAGGATTATACTCTATTCCTCTGATATTCTTTCTCACAGAGAATCCTTGGGAATTTATTAATCTTGCTTGGATGAAAAAATGTTGAGGATATAATTTCTCACTATTGTTTTACAGATTATAATTTACAGAGATTACATTCCCAGGGTGATTGGTGAGCAGGAGATGGAGAAACATATCTCCAATTACAATGGTTATGATGAGACAATTGATCCCAGAATTGCCAATGTGTTTGCTACAGCAGCTTTCCGTTTTGGACATCTGAGCATTCAACCCACACTGTTTCGCTTTGATGAGAATTACCAGTCAGATCCCACAAATGGAAATCTGATGCTGCACAAAGCTTTTTTCACTCCGTGGAGAGCTATCAAGGAGGGTGAGTATTTTCAGGTCTGTGGTAAAAGAGTGGGGAAGTGGGACTAGGTAGATAGCTCTTTCAAAGAGCAGGCACGATGGGCTGAATGGTCTCCTTCTGTGCTGTAGGATTCTATGATTAACATTAATATCACTGCACCAATCATAGTATTGAGAGCCCATGACAAGCAATGCCTAAGTTTCTTCTGACTGGAGTTTATCTTCTCTCTCTGATTAATCACTGGGGGCAGAGATTCTTCCCATTTGGCTTATCTTTACACTGCACACCAAAGCCCTAATGGATAATACAGTTGAAGCTAGACATGCATCAGGAAGCTTGCCAGACAGTGCTCACAATGGCTCGCTTCACCTTTTAGCCAATTAAACTCCAGCAGTTTCCCACCCCCCCCCCCCTGTGGGGTTCCAGCCTTGACTCCTGCCAACCTGCACCTAATACTTTCTGGGATTGGATGAACAGGCTGCAGTCTTCCAGGGATAGAGAATGCACTCCATGGCAAGCAAAGGAAAATGTCCATGCAAATGTGGAATTCTCTGTACTTTGGTTTGGAGACTGTAAGGGATGGTGATGGGTTTACGCTTGTTAGATGCCTGGCTGATTGGAGCTGAGCTTTTCTCCAGCTTCTCTTAGCTTTTCTTTGTGTGAATGTGAGAGGCCAGGTTGGATGAGCAGGAATTGGGTTGGTTTGATGCTCGTGCCCTGCTATGGATCACTCACATTGTTCTCAATGAAGCCAGTTTCAAGATGGACATGAAACCAATGAAGCAAATGTAGAATAGAGAGGCTGGCGTCCTCACAGAGTATGTCTTGTGTATACATTTAGGTGGAATTGATCCCATCCTCCGAGGAATGATGGGTAATCCTGCCAAACGACAAATTGCAGGAAAGATGATGCCAGATGAGCTGAGGGAGAACCTCTTTAAGTTGACGTCTCACCTGTCACTGGACCTGGGGTCACTGAACCTGCAGCGATCCCGCGACCACGGAATGCCAGGTAACAGCGCTGAGAAATACTTCTGATTGTACAATCATAGAAATTCCTGATTCTTCTCCCATCCCATTTTACTTGTTCCTCTCAAATATTTATCCAATTCCCTTTTAAATATTGCTGTCCTCAGCCCCAGCAGCCACTTGGAGCAAAGCGTTCCACACTCTTAACAACCACCTGTGTGAGAATCTTTCTGCTTAACTTTAGTGAGTGATGCTGAGTGGCCTTGCTAACGGACTGAGCTGCTGATTTCAGCCAAAGGCATCATTTGGAGATCAGTCATAAGGCAGAGAGAGGAGACATTTACTGGTGATGGCTGGGAGCAGATCATTCGTTCACATGGATGATGGCAATTGCAGCAGCCAAACTACACCAGCAATGTCCCACAAACAGTGAGAGGAGAAGCCAATTCATGTGAATTCAGGGATAAATATGTCTGAGAAAGGGAATATAAACCAGTTACTGAGAGAAAAACTCACTGAATAACTGATAGATATGAACATTTTCCTCTCTCTGCCTGGGCACAGGGTACAATGCATGGCGAAGGTTCTGTGGCCTCTCAGCTCCCAGGAACGTAATTGAACTTACGCAAATTGTTAAGAGTATGGACCTGGCAAAGAAACTCCTCTCCCTGTACGGAACTCCAGAGAACATCGACGTGTGGCTGGGAGGCATCTCAGAGTCCTTCGTGCAAGGGGGCCGGGTTGGACCCTTGTTTGCCTGTATAATCGGAAAACAATTCAAGAAACTGAGAGATGGAGACAGGTAACAAATGCTATTAGCAAACAGGAAGAGGCCAACAACACACAAGGTTGTTGTGGCAGCCCATAATGATCTAGGGCTGCCTCGAGCTGCTAGTCATTAATAGAAAGTGTTACATCGCAGGAGACCGTACAGCTCAGCGTATCTGGACAAGCGCAAGCTATTCCGATCTCATCTTGTTCCCCTGCTCTTTGCTCATTTCTTTAAATATTATTTTTTTCTCAGTAACTATCTAAATCCCTTTTAAATAATGTTATTGTCTCAGCTTCAACAGTCATTTATGATAAAGCATTCCACATTTTAGCTATAAAATAAAAGCTTCTCCCTCTTTTTTGTTTTTTTGATAATCCTCAATTTGTGGGCTCTTGTCACTGACTGGAGGGTCAGTGGAAATTCAGGGGTAAAATTTGTAGTGTTTGAGAATTAATGCTGGTGTAAATTATCACTCCAAATGCAACGATTTTATATATATATGTAATTATATTTTGTTGTAACCGCTCCAGTTTACAGTGTGCTGTACTGTACAGCTTCTAGCAGCGGCTTTGTGATGGTTTCCCTTCTGCTTTGTTCCTTAGATTCTGGTGGGAAAATGAAAACGTTTTCACAGAGCCCCAGAAGTTGGCCCTGACTTCCGTTTCTCTGTCCAGAATAGTCTGTGATAACAGCAATATTAAAACCCTTCCTCCCGATGCGTTCAATTATGCCCCAAACCGACAGGGACATGTCACGTGTGACCAGCTAAAACGTGTGGACCTGAGTGCCTGGAGAGAAGATGTGGAGGGTAAGGTATCTCTGGAATCGCTCCAGCTTTTGAAGTCTCACATTCTTCCATCTTACCACTCCATCTTCGTCTCCACTAAATCGTCGTTCTCCTCCAAAACAATCTTGGAGGCCAAAGACAACCCCAGACTCCTCTTCTCCATCACCAACCAACTCCTCCGCCCACCCTCTCACACACCTCACCCCTTCTCTTCTCCAACACCAACTGCAAGGAGATGCTGGACTTCCCCGAGAACAAAGTTGAGGGGATCTGCTTAGCTGCCTCTGCCCTTCCGTCTACTACACCATCCCCATCTTCCCCTCCCACCAAGACCCCTCCTACCCATCCCTCTCTCCACACCTTCAAACGTGTCTCCCACCTGCTCCCTCGACCCCATCCCTACCTCTCTCCTTACCTCCCAGCACCACCTCCTTGCCCCTTCACTCACAGACATCATAAACCTCTCCCTGTCCACTGGTACAGTTCCCACTCCATTAGAAACGTCCATCATCACTCCTATCCTCAAAAAAATCCACCCTGGGCCCATCCCTGCTCTCAAACTACCCACCCCCAACTCCAACCTTCCCTTCCTCTCCAAGGTCCTGGAACGAGTCGTTGCTTCCCAACTTCGCTCCTTCCTCTCCCGCCAATCCCTTCACGAACCCCTCCAATCGGGTTTCTGTGCCCGCCCACAGCACAGAATCAGCTCTGGTGAAAGTGACAAATGACATTCTGTCCATCTGTGACCAGGGCTCCCTTTGCGTCCTCGTTCTGCTGCCTTCGACACCATCAACCACTCTATCCTCATCCACCGCTACTCCTCTCACCTCAACCTTCACGGCTCTGTCCTTGACTGGTTCAGATTGTACCTCTCACACCACCTGCACTTCATCTCCTCAAACGGCTTCTCCTCCGGCCCCCACACTGTCTCGTGTGGTGTTCCTCAGGCCTCTGTCCTTGGTCCCCTTCTCCAATACCTATATGCTCCCTTTTGGTGACATCATCTGCAAACATGGGGTCAACTTCCACATGTATGCAATGACACCCAACTCTACCTCTCTGCCTCCACCCTCAACTCCAGAACAACTGCTGTCCTGACAGAATGTCTGTCGGACATCAAGTCCTGGATGAGAACTAATTTTCTACAGTTGAACGTGAACAAGACCTTATTGACTCCCATCAGCGCCTTCACACCTCAGGCATGATAGCATCACCATCCATGGATGCACACTCCACCTTACTAAGCCAGTCGGGAACTTTGGCATCTTGTTTGACCCTCAAATATCCTTTCTATCCCACACCCGCCATGACCCGCTCTGCCTTCCCCCAACTCCGCAACATTGCCTGGCTCCGCCACTGTCTCACACCGCAGGGTGCCAAAGCTCTCATACACGCATTCATCACATCCAGGCTCGACTATGCAAACTCCCTACTTGTCGGCCTCCCCAACTCCTCCCTCCATAGGCTGCAGATCATCCAGAACTCTGTACCCGGTGTCGTCTCCCATATCATGCTCTATGACCCTATCACCCCCATCCTCCCCCGACTCCACTGGCTTCCCATCACACAGACTATACAGTTCAAGATCCTGGTCCTCACCTTCAAAGCCCTCCATGGCCTTGCCCCCATTACCTCTGCGACCTCCTAACGCCCCTAACATCCTGCTCGCTCCCTCCACTCAGTGGGCTCTAGCCTGCTTTATGTGCCCGACTCACCCGCTCCATCATTAGCGGGCGGACCTTTTGCCACTCTGCTCCCACCCTATGGAAGTCCATCCCACAGTTCCTCTGCCTCACCCCCTCCCTTGCATCCTTCAAGACCAACCTCTTTGACCGTGTCTTTGGTCACCCTCTGTCCCCCCCTGCCCTCCATGCTCCTGATCCCGACCCCCAGCTCGGGTCTGAAACACTGACTGTCCAGTGCCTTGGGCCGTGCTCCCAACTTCAAAGGAGCTACAAATGCAATTTTGTTGTTGTTGTTGTTCTTGTTTGTTTGGATTTGGGATTTATAGTGAGTTGAGAGTTAAGGGGAATGTAAAAAAGGGGGGATCTAGCTTTTTGCCATATTTCCACTCAACATCAGAGGAGGCTGAAAGGCCAAGAATGTGCAGCAAAGGATTAAGAGTGAAGTGAAACCATGGTTGGTATGAGGTGATGGTTCAGCCTCCCAATGGCTCAGTGTGTTTACCCAGAGCCGTAGATGGCAGGAAGGCTCCAAATTTGATTTTGGGTTTCGGCCATTAGCTGATCTCAACCAAGACAACATTTAGGATTACCAGGATTTAACTGTAAAGTGACTGTGTGTTTTGTAGGCCAAGGCAGCAGTCAATTTTCACAAACAGCTGTGAGGTGAATGACCAATTTCACTTGGGGGATTGTCAGCCTGAATCCAGGATGAACTCCCTTCAGCGCCATTACACAAGTGTTGAATTTCTTTCCCTTTTGATATCACATCCATGGCAAACGCCACCATTTTCACGTCAGCTCAAATCTTCTTTCCCCACTGATGGCCATGAGCCCCGGAGCCAAACATGTAACCTCAGCGTTGCAATTTCAGAAAGGAAATGACAGCTGCCTCAGCAATCACTTAATAGGTGTCTGCCTAGAGAAACATTTGAAAAAGATTTCAGATTTGAGGGCAATGATTTCCCAAGTCGGCAAACCAACACTTTTGAGATATGAAGCTCCCAAAATAGGCAGTTTCTCCAGCTTTAGTAATGGATGGTTGTTTCTCTTCCAGTCACACCCTGCGGCTCTGTTCCTGTGATCGCTCACGGATTTTTCTCCCTGTGTATGTCCTCTGTGAGGTATACTTGTGCCTCTGGGTTTCAGATAGCAGGCGGGGACACCATCACCTGCCTGGGCAATGGGAATTGGGATTCTGCACCTCCCATCTGTAAAGGTAATCACTCGATCCAACACAAAGTGCCAATAATATAAGGCATAGATTGTAAAATGTAATGTTTGCATTGTTTGCTCCATAGACATCAGGAATCAATCTTATTTTTTCTCCCCTCCTCTTCTGCTGAAGGTTTTATTTCCTTATTCTGGGGAATAGGTCCTTGGTAATTCTCTGGTACCTTGCTAGGCAGCAGCCTTCACTGTGACTCCTGACAGCGAGTATTGGCAGAGTATTTGACTGACGGGCTGAGGGGGCAAGAACTGCAGGTGAACCCAAGGTTGTGTTCACCCACATGCACATGCCACCTTGCAGCGGGGGCGGGAGGGTGGGGGAGAGTGGAGATGGCATTGGTCAATCTTCCCCTCCCGACCCGATTGCGATACCCTGGTCTTACACTGGGCACCGCATTCACCAGCTCCGCCATTCGGAGATTGTGTAAAAACAGAGTATTTGTTAGGAATTGTTTCTCTTTTGAAAGTGAGAGCTGGGTCCCAGACAGTATAATGGAGTATTGTGTGTTGAGTTCTAGTCTTTCTTCAAACCTCTTGTGGTCTGAATGTTCTAACTGTGTTCCAGCTGTGATGATAAAACCACTATTAATACAATACTTATCCTTGTATTTGATATTTGCCTTGGGACATCCTCCCGACGTGAAAGGCGCTATACAAATATAATCTTGTTGTTGTTGTTGATATAGCGCCTCATCACATTGTTGAGACAGCGCTTCACAGAATATACTGTAAAGTATATTGACTGTATTTTGTGGATAAAACATAGTAGCCAGTTGCACACAGCAGCGTCCCACAAACAGTATTGTTTAGTAAGTAATGTGATATGTGAATGAACACGGTTATCACATCTTTGCAGATGACCCTGAACACGTTTATGGGGAGAATAGCAATGATTCAACGACTTCAACAGGATCCAGTTATGGGACTGGGGTTGTTGGTCCCCCTGGCCCCAAAGGTGACATGGGACCCCCTGGGCTCCTCAAGAAATCAGCCTTTTCTGCACAACTTGCTACAGACAATGTAACACCTAATACAGCAATCCCATTTGTAACTGTGATCTATAATGACAATACGGGCTTCAATCCTGCCACAGGTATCTTCACCTGTCAGACAGCTGGTGTCTATTCCTTTTCTTATAATATTGAAGTGCACAGAAGGGCGAGCATCATCCTAAAGAAAAATGGCAACACAATAATCACTTCCAGGATTGAGGATAGATCCAGAGCCAATGTCATGTCAGGAAACATCATCCTTTCTCTGGCTGCTGAGGATAAAGTCTGGTTGGAGGCTCCAGAAACAGGGGAAATGATACACAACCTAAGTTTTTTTATGGGCTTTTTGATTTATACGCTTTGATAAGTGACCTTTTCTTCTAATCATCTATTCCTCCAGTAAAGATTCTGAGCAGTAGAACATAGCAACTATCTGCCTTTAGATATTTGTGAGGTAAGGCTATCAAGGGATATGGGGCAAGGGTGGGTAATTAAGAATTGAGGTATGGTTCAGTAATGATCCTATCTGAGCTGCAAGCTGTTCCTGCATCTTTTTAGAAACCTGTATAAACACACAAAGGATTTTCTCTTCAGAGCTCTGACCCAGGGATTTATCAGCACCAGAACTAAACCCCTTCCTTCCCAACGCTACACTGAAGAAGACTGCAGTCAATTCTAAATCATGTGTGTGTTTGAGGCGCTGAGGAAGACAAACAATGCGATTCCAGGCATCCAGACTGGTGAGAAAATATAGACGCATGTTTGCTGCAAGGATTACAAATCAGTCTGAAAATCTAATAGGTTTGGCACAGCTTCTCACACAAAGAGATTCTGGGTAAAGATATTGAGAAAAGTGGGGAAATGCAGGGTAATGCAATTGAAGGAAGTTGCCATAGAATTAATATGGGAGCAGGTTTGATGGGCTGAAAGACCTCCTGTTCTAAGGTTTGTAAGTTTCTAATCTTTGCAGCAAAACCGTACACTTTCTCACTGCTCTTGATTTGTGCAATTATCTCCCTGTAGCATCTCTATAAAGTCTACTATAAGTGGGTGTGTCACTCGCCAATTGCAAGCAAACTGCACAGGAATGTTTGTCTCAGGGAACCTGCAGATTCCAAAGTAAAGGAAAAGATTAATCTTCCTCATTAACTAGTTACTGTAGGTGCTAAAACGTCTTTCCTGTAACAACCAGCAGCACCATTCTCTTTATTGAGCTGTGATCAGGTTAAAACGTGAGTTTGGTTAACAAACCAATACTTATTCGACAACAGGAAAGATGAGGGTTCCCTCTCATTTGGTTTAATTGTTACCATAGGTTTATTGCCCATTGTTATATATGTTCTGCTATAGCCAACATCCCAATATCCCATCAGAGACGACAACAGGCATCCAATCCAACCTCTGGGACAGCCAATCACCATTCTTCCTCCAGCTGCTCTGTTCATAATCAAAGCAGTTAAGGAACTGATGTGCGGTCTAGATTTGCAGCATGACAAACACCTTCCCAGCACATGCATGTAGTTTCTTGAGGTAGAACATCTCACCTTTGAAATATTGATTAAAAATATAAGTATAACTGTTTTGATTTATGCTATTTGTTAATTAGATGTGTTTTGTAGTTTTAACATTCAGAATGTTATGAGCAGTTGTAAAGAATGTTAATCCAGCAAAATATCAGCCAATTGGATTAATTGGGCTGGAAACAGATTGCCAGAACTGTCCTTTTCTAAGTCTATGTTTCTGTGAAAACTCAATTTTATGTAAATTTTCAAAGCTACAAAATAAAAATATTGCACCCTGACGTGATATAATCCTGCTCTCTAATGTGATTTATACACAAGATGTTCAACAGATCAGGAATTCTGGTGCTCCTCAGATTGATCAGAGTTTTCCAATTTTTGCTGGAGCATGGCTAGTTTTCCCAGCTCCTGATCTCCCGAAGCCCAGCGTGGTGAACAGTTTCCACAGCAATCTGACCCCATGATGAAATTGGAGGAAAGTCTGAGTGAGCTGATCCACTATTATTCTGGACATACATAGAACCATGGAAATTTACAGCACAGCAGAAAGCCATTTGGGCCATTGTGTCTGTCCCAGCTACTGTAAGAGCAATCCTTTCAATCTATTCAGTCATGTCCAAAAGGCAAACAGTTTGGACTTCTTTCCCATATAATACATTGACATGAAGAGACTTAGGAATCATTGTACTACTTGTGCTGGGACATCAAGATTTGTTTTATGATCTTCACTTGCCAAAAGAGAATAGGAAGAAAGTTGTCTGATTTTGACATGTTCTTGTATCTGAAGAGGAGCTGATCCTCAAAAAAAACTCTGATGGTGGTTCACACATTTCATTTGCCACAGGCAGTCTCTTCAGGTTGGCTCATGTTTTATGCTACCTTTAGGGTTTCTGGAACCACAAAGTAAAAGTGTTATTAGAAATTATATCAGGTAGGATTAAGAACAAAATTCAGCTGGAAGGACAGTTATAACACAGCCCAGGTCTTGGTTTTCAGGAAGTCTCGAGCATGGACTCAATTGTGGGACTTGTATAGCTCTAAATCGTAGGTAGAAAAGCACATTTCATCACCACCATGTTATAGAGATCAATAATAATTTTACCTTTATATAGTGCCTTTTATGTCAGGCGGTTGCCTCAAAATGCTTCACAGAGCTGTCTGGGAGCCTGAGCTGGGGTGGTGGGAGCTGAAGAAGTAGTTGTATGGGAACAGAAAACACCATTGCAATCCCAAACTAAACAAAACTCTACATTGTTTCATGCCCCTCAAATCAACTTCAAATCAATTGCTCAGTTTCACTGTATCTTACTTAGAGCATTACTTGATGATATTGTTGGGTGTCAATTGTTATTGAGATTTTAAATGTGTCCTGGCCTCAGCCACCTTTCCTGCCAACCTGTACCATTTAATTACTCTCTGAGTAAATCTTCTCTTCCTCTGCTGTCCTGATGCAGCCATATTGTTACATTCATATCAATATACATTCATATTGTTATGAATGTAAATTTTCAATCCCATTTCAATATTTTACACCTCTATACGATGCCGAGTTGTCTTCTCTCAAGACTGAAGAGGCCCGGTTTATCTAAATTACTCCTTAAGAGCTCATTCCTCTAATCTAACATCCTCATTGCTCTTCTCCGCACTGGCTCTGGATAGCCAACTTATCACGTGGTGTACAGTAACCTATGCAGTAACCCTCTCCCCACGCCACACACACACGCACCTCCCCCACACACCCCCACACACACATGCACGCCCCCCCCTCCCAAACACACACAGCCCGCCCCCCCCCCACACACACACGCAACACCCCCCTCCACACACACGCACCCCCCCCGCTCCCCACCCACCCACATACACGGCTTCCCACATACACACACACAGCCCCCCTCCACACACACGCACCCCCCTCACATACACACGCCCCCCCCCCCCCGCCTCCATACACACACAACAAAATGACATTTATAGAGCGCCTTTCATGCTGGGAGGATGTCCCAAAGCGCTGAACAGTCAGTTGTCCCGAGCATGGGGGGTGGTGTAGGGGTGAGGGAAGGCAGAGAGGTGGGAGGGAGACCAAAGGCACCCCCCCCCCACCCCCACACACACACACAGAGGCCGCCCTCCACACACATGCTCCCCACCCACCCACCCACACATACATACACAGCCCCCCCCCTCCACACACACGACACCCACCCACCTACAAGGCCCCCCACATACACACAGAGTCACCCCCACACGCATGCTCCCCCCACACACAGCCCCTCACACATACTCCCACCCACACAGCCCCCCACAAACACAGCGCCACACACCCACAGCCCCCCCCCCCCACCCCCCCTCTCCACACACACAGCCCCCCCCCACACACACACACAGGCCCCTCTCCACACACACACACAGGCCCCCCCCCACACACACACACAGGCCCCTCTACACACACACACACAGGCCCCCCCCCACACACACACACAGGCCCCTCTCCACACACACAGCCCCCGGCCCCCCAACACACACACGAATTTCCCACACCAGTGGTCTATGTCACCGATCGCCCCCCCACCCCCCGTATATGAAAGTGAAGCGTCAATGTGACTGAAAAGAGAGGGACAGTGATAGGTGAAAGTGGAAAAGGAGAGAGGGAAAGGGAGAATCTCTCCTTTGTTAGGGTTAGTGGGGGGGGGGGGGGGGGATGGAGGGTGTAAGTGAAAGATAGGGAGAGACTGAGTTACACACTGAGGAGAGTGAGAGCTAAGACTGAGCGTGAGTGTGACTGAGTGTGTGAGTGAATTAAGTGAATGTGAGTGAGTGACTGTGTGAGTGAGTGTGAGTGAGTGTGAGTGTCTGTGTGTGAGTGAGTGAGTGAGTGACTGTGTGTGAGTCTGTGTGAATGTGATTGAATATGTGCGAGTGTGTGAATGAGTGAGTGCGAGGGGACATAGTGAGTGACTGAAGCCGGGTTTGGGTCAGAGGCAAACGTTCATTTAAATTGACAATGTCACACATTTCCCCTCGCCGGGGGCAAAGCCTTCCTGTAGCCGAGACCCTGGGGCTGGGGGTGATGGTGGTGGTGATGATGATGGTGATGGTGACGGGTGTCTTCTCTCAGAAGCTCACAGTGCACTCGTCCATAAAGTAGGAAACACTACACTGATTGGATGGTTAGTAGTGCTTTCTACTTTATGGATGACTGCACTGTCTGTCTCAGTGATTCTCCAGCGATGCTTCACACCTCTCCGGCTTCCAGTCGCCAAAATCCACAAGAACAGCCTCACTTACACAAGTCTTTAACTCGGACATTAAACGCACATTCTATGCCCCTTATTTACAGTGGCTGTGCTGAACGCTCAACCACCTGAGTACTGGGCACGTCAGCATGTACTGACTCCCAGCAATGTGCCTACCGGCGTCTAACACACACACAGCCTCTGGGCTCCAACACACACACACACACACAGCCTCTGGGCTCCAACACACACACACACAGTCTCTGGGCTCTAACACACAGTCTCTGGGCTCCAACACACACACACAGTCTCTGGGCTCTAACACACACACACACACAGTCTCTGGGCTCTAACACACACACACACACAGTCTCTGGGCTCTAACACACACACACACACAGTCTCTGGGCTCTAACACACACACACAGTCTCTGGGCTCCAACACACACACACAGTCTCTGGGCTCTAACACACAGTCTCTGGGCTCTAACACACACTGAGTGCGCTGACTGGGGTATAACACACACACTGCTCACTGAAGAAATACATTATTCGACAGAAAACGAATCAGTGAAAAGTTCACGAGGGCCTTTCAGCGAATCAGTATAGGCTCCTCACACATCATCAACAAATACATATTAATAGACAAGATCCACATTTTACATTATTTACAATAATCATTGCAATAATCACAATCAGATATTAGTTACATACAGCAATTATTTACAGAAGAAAGTTTTTTTTAAAATTACAATTAATCCGAGTTAAAGTCAATTCTCTGCACTAACAGAGAGAGTCGGATCCCTGTCTCTACCTAATCTCTTGCCAACAAGTTGCAAAGCCTGTGGTGTGGCCCCAGTTAGTGCTTACCCGAGGCTGAGCTCCGCAGTGAAGCCTAACTGTCTCAGCTCTGTATTTAACTCCACATCAACACGTGATAAACCACAGGAAACCTGCCGACGCCCAACTCTCACAAGCGCAACACATTCGCTAACGGAACAGGGCCGCATTATGCACACGAAACTCCGACTTCAAATACCGCCTCGACCAATAGAGCTAAAATGCTGTCAGCATTTCATGTGCTGATTCCCTCTCTCAGGCCTCCACAGTCCACATGTCCCACAGTGTGGATATGCCAAGGCCCTCAGCACCACAGACCATCCCAATGTAGTCTGTAATAACTCAAACAGAGCAATGAAGAGAATGCAGCCATATCTTAGGCCAGAGTTGTTTTCCCTGTTGCTGTGTTGGTTCATTCACCATGTTCCTGAAACTAGAATGCATGTCTCCCCGGTCCTTATAGTGTCTCTATTACAACCATGACTTGGTTTGTATAGTGAGTTCCATTTACACTATATAAATCTTTCATTTTATATAACAGCTTATTATAATAATAATAATCCATGCATTTGATATAGACTTTTCACGTCTTCTAGACATCCCAAAGCGCTTCACAGAATATACTGTAAAGTGAATTGACCGTATATTTGTGGGCGAACGCGGCAGCCAATTGCACACAGCAGTGTCCCACAAACAGCCGTGGGTTGAAAATGACCAATTTATTATTGTTTTTTGTTTTTTTGGAGGGATTATTATTAGGCTCTGTGTGGAGTAAGGAAACTTGCCCAAGGTTTCGCCCCCTGCCTGGAATTGAACTCAGGTCTCTCACTTGCAAAGCGAGTGCTCTAACCACTGAGCTACAGGACTCCACATCTTATCTAATCTTATCACATTAAAACGTCTCAAAGTGCTTCATAGGCAGCTGCTAAGTGCAGTGACTGTGTATTTTGTAGGCGAATACTGCAGCCAATTTGAGCGCAGTAACAATGTCCCACAAACAGTATGAAGAGAAGGACTATTTTTAAGGGGGATTGTTGGCCAGGACACTGGGAGAAGCTCCCTGCTCGTTACGAAGAGAACCATAGGATCATGAGCAAGAGATGGGATCTCGGTTTGTCAGACACAGTCATTTATTGAGATATCAGTACTTTGCAAAGGGACATAATTTCTAAGTGTGCAGTAAATGCCTCACACATTCCTGGGTCAGT